ACGTGTGTAAGCTAAATTTTGGTTTCGTTTAATATGCTTGCTACACAGCCTACTAATTTATTACAGAGTTGCACGTAATAAGAGGAGCGAGAAGATATCGCTTCTCTGTAATTGCACTAGAGTAGTTAGAAGCTCACAGACTCAAGTGTAAATAAAATGTAACAGCTAGTTGACTACTCATCAGATTCATAAGGAGGAGTCTGAGTTCACGGAGTTAGTTTATCTCTCTCTTGTAGAAGAGGGGAATTAACAACTAATTACGTTTTTCATTACAGAATTTTAATGAGAAATAGACAGTTATTTAATCTTCACCGCGAGCAAAAATATTGTGTTTTATTATATCATATAGCACTTTTAAACATTTCTAAAAATCAATAAAACTTCGTGACATGCTGTCTTTCCTTTATTTTGTTGTGCTTAATTACATTTGACGACAATTAAGGTTTTCACTGCAATGAATAAGACGTTTGCTGTCTTTTAGGATATTGTACTTTGTACTATGATAAATGTTGACCTACGGTTCATAGGAAATTACTGCAACGTTCAAATTCCCAAATGGTGTTGGCTATAAGTTCCTCTGAAACATGCAACAGTATCTATCAGATTAAACGGTTCATTACTACAAAACTCATCTATCTTAAGTTTAGGCGTAGAGTGAAAATTACCGAGTTCCTCATTACGCAGTTTTCTTTTTGTTATGTCCACTCCCTCAGTGCTAAATAAATTGTGTTTTGTAACCTTGTTCACGCACTCCCTCAATCTACGTATTTCCGTAAGGTAAGAGATCAAGAATTACATCCATAAAAGAACAGGAATTATAGGACTAACTGCTATTTACTATGTAACGAAAAATTATATCTGAAGTAAGTAATTTTCTAAGAATCCACCGTAGAAAAAAACGCAAGACGAAATGTCCGTGTGTGGCAAGTGAAAAGATTATAGCTTCCTTTGATTGAAAAGGAAAGAGAACAGTAACGGAAACGGGAGGAAATGTTATTGGATATCTAAATTGTTAAAATAACTGGGGCGGAAATAGAATATCAACCTTCGAATTGATTTATGAGTTTGCAGTAGTACGTAGAGCCATTCCATATTCTCCCTGATTGCTATATAGATATAAAAAAATGTAAATGAATTCTATAAATTACTAAAAAAATAGAATTAAATATTACATAAATTCGACTGTGCTCTGGGACGTTACGGCGTGTAGTCTGGTACAAGTTTACCGACGTTTCAGAGGTAATTGCAGGGCTATCGCCCCTATAATGGACAAATATGTTATATATTTATTTAGTGTTCTGTCTGGCGACAGGTCCATATGAACAGGATCCTTCCATCCTTTTCTCGGACTGGGACCTGTTCATATACGTTCTTGGCAGATGATCCAGAAGTGGTTTGCCATTGCCTTCTTCTGTGTGTGAATGGAGTAATTGTTGGGATGCCACGGAGAAACCGGGGTAGCCCCCGGAGGAAAACTCCGTGTTGCCTAGACCACGGCCTTGCCCAACACAAGTTATAAATTCGGGCACCGCCGGGAATCGAACCCGAGACCCCAGGATTACAAGACCAGCGTTCTAACCGCTATAAACGTCTACCAGCCTACACGGCGCACCATTCTGGAAGACAGTCATTTTCGTACTCGCCGCCTTAAAAAAATGAAATTTTTCTTAAAGACGGTTGTCCATATCAAAATGGAATTATCTCTTACATATTCATTTAATTTATGCCTGTTAAGTATAATTATGGGGAAGTTATGGCCCGAAAACGGGCCGAAGCGCCATAGATGATGATGAAGTATAATTATATATATGTGCTATAACGTCAACTATGAAGAGCTAGATGAAGTGCCTAAGGATCATCACAGACTCATAGATCTTAAATGGGTTATAATTTTGCTTCTCGCTATGAAACGTAAAAGCTGGATCGAATTAGCATAGGTCATAGTGAAAACAGTTTCAGATGTCATTACTCAACACTTGTCATCTATAGCGTATCACGACACTGATACTTCAATTATTACGGCACATCGTACTGACTGCGCTATACACACTGCCTATCCAACCACTCGTTTCTTAGTTTAAAGATTATGGCATCGTATACTGGTCTTAAAAGAATTGTACGATTAAACCACCATAGTTTTAGATTTTAGATACTTCATAAAACTGAAAAGATTCCCGAGTGTGGTAAGGTCCATATCACATGCGTGTTCTTGTCGCTGGGGTGAAGAGTAAGGTCATAAGCACTGCGCGCGCAACTCCTCGTTTTTTTTTACTCGTTCTACCTGGCCGTTCCGTGCACCGACCAGGCCGTGCCGAGTGCAACTATCCACAGTACTAGGCAGATCAGCTAGCAAGCAATCTGATCTCTGCCATATTAACAGCTTTAAAAATGCATCGGGAAAAATACTTAAAATAAGTAGCAAGTTCTCCTGCATTGTTTTCAGCACAATACACATTTGAGAACACTCATTTTGGAAAATAATGGCGCATTTTTTTTTATGATTTTCCAAATATTTTGTGACCCCAGATTTTCTAGATAAATGTTACAGTTAGACGTTTGCACGGACACCGACCTCGACTTCGGGCTCCAGCCCCACTTGACTCTATGGTCTGGCCTGAGGCTGGTAGCACAGATAATGTTTGAGTGTGGGCCGGGTTGGAGCTTGGTTCAAATTATAGCAATCAAACGTTTTACAGAACATTTCGGGTTTTCTCGTATATGCATATTTAGCAAAGAAAATGTTATTCATACTTGTACACATCTTATATTCGTGACACAGTCAGGCTCAGGAAAAGAAAACGTACCAACTTGGATTTTTCTGAGATCCTCTTAGCGGCCCTTCTAGACACAGTTCAAGATAACTTACGAACTTCGCATAAGATGTTTGTACCTTTCCTGAACCTCAGATGTCGTTCAAGCGTCGTGAATTAAATTATTTGAGAATTACTGGCTTTCTTGCTTCGGAATAAAAATATATTAATGATACGTTAGTCAGGGCAGAGTGTAAATAGTTTGAGCTTCGTTCTGGCTGGAATTGAATGAAATCAGACTTAGGTGGGGTACAGGTAAGACGCTTAAAGATGAACTTCGCTCTCAAGGCAAGTGCTCCTCTGGCCGGGCCAGGTGAAATTCTAAAATTTTGACGTGTGCAATCCTCCACTTACCAGTTACTTAAATTAGTTTGTAAATCGGAATCTAAGGACAATGAAAGAACGGTCTTCCAGTATAAAATTATTTGTTTACGTGGAGAGATTTGAGATATGGAAATATGGTTTACTATCCTAAAACAGTTCTGGGATCGAGTCCCACGAATATAGCTATTGAATATAGGAATAAATTTGTTCTGTGTTAATGATTGATACGTATAGAATGAATAGGCCTTTTATTAAGCTTTCGAAACATAATAATTGATATGCAGCATAAATATTTGCCGAATTTTGTTGCAGTAACACGGCGAGCATTGAGATTATTCTTTTAAATCAAAGTGTTAACCTCTGTGATTGTATGTGTATGTCCGAGATTCGGAAACCCACTTGAGCAGTAGTTATTCAGCTGATCAAGACATTTCATGTTACGTGATAAGGATATAGATTATATCAATCACCGCCATAATGAACATAAGTTAAATTTAATCTCCTAAGATAGTGTAATTGCGTCATATTGTGAATATTATAACAATTTTTTTTTTTCAACCCCAACCCCGACAGCCACCTTTCACTTACTCCTTCCACAAGCAACCACAGTCAGTATTGACCCACACCTATTTGAAGACACTAGTACTTCTGGACATATCGGAAAAATCACTCCTACATCTTTGGTATGTTTTATTTTTATTTTTATTTTTATTTCTATTTTATTGATACTTTCTAACTATAATTTATATATTTTGCATTTTATTCTCTAAATTCTTTTATAAATTCTTTCAAATTCTTTAGTGTTTCTTTCAATCTTTTACTTACAGACCGATATGTACATCTAATAAAATTTAAGAAAAACAACACCTTCGCCCAAAAAATGGAAAAACAAACGTAATGAAACATCACCAAAATACTACAGAAATCATAATTGAGTTTTAAGTTCTTAGATATATTTTACACCTGATGATGGTTTTATAAAAACCGAAACATGTTGTGTAAAAGATGTTCCAAAATGTAAATCGATCAATCGATATGGAACATCAATGATATTTTAGTATCTTAATTATAAGAAATTTTAAATATTGTGATAAGACGGATTAAAATAAATAATTGTTAATCTCCTAACTAAATAACTGACTCCTTGGAGCAGAGTCCCCCTTTAGAAACAACAGTATGCTTAATTAGTGAAGAATTAGACGTTGTTTGTGGAGCATGAGAGTTATTACCGTGTTTACACTAGACTGCTTCCGCCCCCTGTCCTGAGTCAGATTTGTTGAACCCACACCCCAAAATCCAAATTTCCCAACAATTTAATATTATTCTTCCACCTCCGCCTACACCTAGGCCTTCGGAGTGGTATCTTACCTACAGGATTTCCAATCAAATATTTGCACTCATTTATCTCCTTTATGTAAAGTACATGCCCCTCTCATTTCACCACTTTGATATCTCCGTCATCCTAATATTAATTTACGCCATCATAACCTACGATATGCGACATGTAACAATTACTTATTTTCACCATGAGTGTCACATACTTAAGCCATATCAACAATGAATTAAACATGCGAATGTGGATTTGGAATGAAGTGAGCTGTTTAGAACATCGTTTCTCAACCTATGGTACGCTTACCACTGGTGGTACGCGAGCCAATGTTGAATGGTACGCGAACTAAGAAAGAAAATCAAAATAATATTAACATAAATAAGTTTTCCCCGAACGCCTTTGGTTGGTGGTACATTTAATATGTTCAATTAGAATTAGTGGTACGCCAGCGAAAAAGGGCGAGAAACCCTGATTTAAAAGATTCAAAACATTCTGCCCATGTCACTGATACGAAAGAATGAAGGTGGCGTTCCTACCTTCTTGACCGTTGCCCAGAGGGATGGTTTCGCCCCCCTCGCGACGCCAGGTGATGCTGGGCTGGGGTGAGCCCGTCGCGGCGCATCGGAGCGTCACGTTCGTCCCCTCCCGCACCACCATGTCAGTGCTGGTCGGGTAGTCGAGAATGTCCGGTGGAACTGCAATCAGGAACACATTTAAACATGCATAAGTCCCTCTTCCTATAACGCTTATGGACATGCTGACGTTAGTTTTCGGGATTATAACGCAGTTTTGACTTGCCAGTAGATACCAGCGTTTTGGAGAAACGTGAAACCCCAACTTCACAGGTGATGACGAGGACAAAGACTTCTTATTAGAGTTGGAATTTATTTAGCACATCAAGTTACCCCGAAACCCAACTACATTTAGTATCTAGAACTAGTTAGGAATATGTACATAATCGAAAATTATTTTCTCATATGGACCTGTCGTCAGACAGAACACTAAATAATAATAAGATGAGGTGGTCTAGCGGTTAGAACGCTGGCCTTGTAATCCTGGGGTCTCGGGTTCGAATTTATAACTTGTGTTGGGCAAGGCCGTGGTCTAGGCAACACGGAGTTTTCCTCCGTGGCATCCCAACAATTACTCCATTCACACACAGAAGAAGGCAATAGCAAACCACTTCTGGATCATCTGCCAAGAACGTATATGAACAGGTCCCAGTCCGAGAAAAGGATGGAAGGATCCTGTTCATATGGACCTGTTGTCAGACAGAACACTAAATAATAACTATTTGCTTAATATTTTATCTCATTTCTTATCCTCTATTAAGAATAAAGTTTCTGTCATATTTGTTAAAGCACACTTATTAACCCATACGAGGTGCGATCGAAAGTTTTTCAGACTGCGCGTATAAAAACCCGTACACTTATCTCAGGTATTAAATTCATCCATCACCCTCGAAGTAGTTCCCCTGGGAGTGAACACAACGA